TAAATCTTGAAACAATAAAGCAAACAAAAGCACTACCCACAGTACTGTACTATAGTACGGCCTCTTCCGGTACTATGCAGGCTTGTTTCTGTGTCTCCTAAGCCCTGAAATTTGTCCTTATTAATCCCAAACCCAGAAGCATTTCTATTTTTCCAAAATTTCTACTGCCCCTCCTCCCTTTGGGGACAGTTTTTGGCTGGGGCTGGGTTTGAACCCACCACCTCTGGCATATGAGGCCTTTGAGCCACAGGTGCCGCCCTCCCCCCCCTTTTTGTTTTTTCTCTGGCGTCTTCAAGACCAATTCTATCTACAGCCCCTAAGGGGTATAGGAAACTATATTTCCTTATTTTATTTTATTTTATTTTATCTTATCTTAAGAGATTTAGGGGGTACAAATTATTTTCTTGTTACATCGATGAATTATATAGTGACGAAGTGTAGGTAGGCTTTTAGTGTATTGGTCACCTGAATAATGTATATTATTGAAACTACACTTCTGAAATCTTAAAACCTAACCAGGACTCTTTCTAATCATCATTGCCATTTACTAAGTATTTATCACGTTTCAATCACCATCTGAAGTGCTTTAATATATTTGCTCATTTAAAACTTACTGTAGTCCTGTGAGATAGGTATTATTGCCACCATAAGCTTCAAAAACCAGTCTCAGATTAATAACTTGCCCAGGGTCACCCAGCTAGTAAATGGTAAACTGGAATTCAAACTCTGGGCTGTTTGATCTTAAAACTCAGTCCCTTGATCCTTGTATTCTGCCTGTGTGTCCCAAACCTGGGGGGATGGCCAAGACTAGACCACTGGCACTTAAATTCTGTGATGTAGTCTCCCTTGATTTAAGATTATGAAATGTGGTAAACAATAGTTCCCAAAAGATGTCCATATCTTAATCCTGGGATCTGTGACTATGTTCCCTTACTTGGCAAAAAGAGAGTTTGCAAATGTATGAAGTTAAGAAGTTAAGGATCTTGAGATGGGGAGATGGTTCTATATTATCTGAGTAGGCCCAAGGTAATCACAAAGGTCCTTATAAGATGGAAGGGAAAGTAGAAGTGTGAGAGAGAAATGTGACAATGAAAGCAGAGGTCAGAGAGAAAGATTTGAAGATGCTATTGTTGATCTTCAAGATGGAGAAAGGGGCCACGGGCCAAGGAATGAAGGAAGGTGTGCTCTAGAAGCTGGAAAAGGCAAGGGAACAAATTTTCC